GGGAGTTCTTGCAAAATTTACTCTAGTTTTTGAACAGCCGACGAATGAGTACAAGTGTTCAAAGTACTGTAGAACTGCGTCGTCTGGTTAATATCCAACAGTGTCATTATTTTGCTCCAATATACATCCATTTCTGTCACCTTTCTTGTTCCAATAAAGTAAAGTATATCATCGATAGCCTGTCGTAAGGGCTTGCCACAGACATGGTTGCAGGTCTTAAAGAAAATGAAAACTTTGTAACAGTTGGAATATCGGAAATTTCTTCCTTACACTTCATGGGTCAATTTTGGCGCCCTTCTTTTCATGAAACTGACGATAGGATGCTCATCTTTACTTCTATGACATCAGCCAGTTGTCTTATTTTAAAGGCAGAGTAAACAGCGGCCAAATGACAAGCTTAGTGTGTAGTCTCCTGGTTCCTCTGACACAACAGTACTTATTTATCAATCTCGGAAGGCATCAGGGCGAAGGATGCTGATCGATGCTTGAATGCACAGTTTTTCGGTTCAGAGTCCAACGGTAAATCGACTGAGCAGCTGTGGCAATAACTCAGTTACAGTAAGAAGCAAACCTATTTTATCTTCCCCTTTGGATTAATCTTGGTGGGGGAAATTTTCTCGTGTTATAATTTCAAGCGAAAACATGAGGAGACCACTTTTCCTTGAGATTAAGGAGAGCTGAGTGAGGTTTTCCATCGCACCATTCACCGTTTGAAGGAGCAATGACCTTCAAGAGTGAATTTAGAATTTTTGAAGTAGTTATGGAGTGCAAGACTGAACAGCAAAAAATATCGAAGAAATCCGACCACAGTTAGTGCATAAGAATCAAAGTAGGTACCACACCGCAATCGGTACCAATTGAAAGAACTTGATCTCTGCCTTGCATGCCGACCATCGAATAGCACCTGTCGAACAAGCAAAATTACCACTTTGTGGTCTGAATATAAATACTCACCCTGCTCCTTTGAAAATGATTATTCGGGGGTTGCCAGCATCGTTCTCGTCGTCCCGTATAAATTCAAGACACGTGTTTTGCCGCCAAAATTCAATCGCTTCAATCGTCGGAAAAATTTCCGCATTGCCTACACAACATGAAACTTGCAACGCGGAAATGTTCATGTATTCTATGGTATGCAGAAATTATAAAACAAAGCGCTATTCTAAGCCCATGTACACACGAAAGAAAACGAAAGTAGTCTCAGACTTGCTAATCGGCGATTATGTTCTTAACTTTTCTTTATTTTACCGTTTACACCATATTCTGATTTATAATCAGTCATCAAACGTCATTAGTCAGAACTAGCTA